TCCTGGGCGGCTAGCCGGGGAGGTTTTCCGTGCCTGTCCTACAGGGAGGAGGCCCCGAGGCAGGCCCAGGACTCGCTGGAGGGATTATATCTCTCGGCTGGCCTGGGAACGCCTCGGTGTACCCCCCGAGGAGCTGGTGGGGTTAGCTGGGGAGAGGGAGGTCTGGGTGCCTCTACTGAAGCTGCTACCCCCGCGACCCGAACCCCGGACAAGCGGCAGATGATGGATGGATGGATGGATGGAATGAATACTATTGGTCTTTATGAAAAATCTTTGCTGTAAACGCAATCAAAGCGCAATCACAGCTTTCAAATCAGTGCTGGCCCGTTAACATGTTAACCTTTACAGCCCAAATACAAATAATTTGCAACATAATAAAATTGCACTTCATTTATTTCATGAAATAACTGAATACGGCATTTCATGTTTGGGTAAATTTATATGGCATACCAGGCCTGCTCCTGCATGTCAACTGAGAAGCACTGCTCAAAGCAACACATACTCACACGTGAAACACCGAAAATGATGGTCTGTGAACACATATAGATGTAGTATTTAAAAACATTATCTGGAATCATTATGTTTAATTAATTACACACAAATATACTGATGGCCATAAAGCTACAAGTATTCAGAATTGCAGTGAATAGCTTTCAAGTTCAGACTAAAAAATGCAGTATTTTCAGTGAATGCAGTTAAAGACCACTGCGTTGATTCCAGACTTAAATGTATTCAGCTATTCTTTCAATCTGTGTGTTCTGCAGATTTTCAGCTGTTAGGAAATGTTATTCTTGGAGTTTGCTTCATTTTCTTTATTTCAAAACAAACTCACTTCCTTTTTTTAAGGCAGAGGACGGAAAGTGTAGTGAGAAAAAACTATCAAATTGCACAGTCTATTTGTAAAAAATAGAGGTTTTAAAAAGCTTAAGCAGGAAGGAAGAAAATGCATTGTCATAAATGTCATAAGGCACGGCATTCATCAAACTAATCTGCAAACGGCAAACAATCCCTTTAAAATTTCCACAACCATCTATCACAATACACCAATTGCATGGACGGCAAATAAAATAAAGTATAGATATTGTGCATACAATAAAAGTATAATTAGTAATTGTATAATAAACATGGTGTTTATGCTACATTCTATACCAATAAACAGAAATACCGTATATTTTTCTAATATTGTATCAGTACTATTGCTTCACTTATTTGTGCAAACCCATGTTTTCCAGAGGCATTAATCTGAACTTTGGAAATATAAAGACCACAAATACACATTTTGGGCATGAAACCTCTTCTCAGACTAGCACAGCAACAACAGGTTTCTTTGAAAGCAAATTATTTTACTGCAATGGTACAACAGCAATTTCCTTACCAAGCTTAGAAAATGCATTTGGGTTATGCTCCAGCACTCTGATGAAATATCACTAGACACATCAACAACATTAATCAAATATTAGAATGAAACGGCACAGCTTGAAAAGAGTTTATTAGAAAGTTCCAGCAAACTCCTCTGTTTCTCTGGTTGTCCCTTCATTTAATACACACACATACAACTGTGCAAAAGTTTTAGACAGTCAAAGAAAATTATGTTTAAATGATTTTCATGTTGGTGTAAAATTATGATATTATGTCCGTTAAAGTTGTGTCAGCTTAGCCATTACAAAACCTCTCCTACAATCACCACAGTATTTGCAGTGACCATCTAAAACACCCATGCATTTTTGGACTCAACCACTACTCCACTTTGTTTGGCCTCATGGAGTTATTTATCTAATTAAGTTAATTAATTATTTGAGCTGGTGGTGAAATTTACGAATCCATGTAATGGCTGGGGGGCCCCTGAGGAGAGTTTTGGGAACTGAAGCGACGTTCATCTAGCCATATAGTAAGATATCAGTAACTTTTTGGGGAACAGAAGAAATTCTTTATTTTTATTTTTATTATTATTATTATTATTATTATGTTTTAATGTTAAATTGTGTGTGTTTTTTTTGCCCTGAGCCAAAACGCATTTACTACCCATATAAATAGCCTTAAGATTTTATTTGACTGTTTTAGACTTGTAGACAGCACTGAATATACAGTGATACTGGGAAGTTTGTGAAACCTTTCTCAATTTCTGCATAAATTAGACAGAAACATGAAAAAAAAATTGAGAACATTAGAAACATTATTAATTAAAATTATACTACGTTAAATTCCTCTGTTAGAAAAAGTATGTGTACCTCTAGGATTAATTCAGTTACAGTATGGGAACAATTACAGTCAGAACTGTAAATCAGTGGGGTGACAGGCAGGTGTGAGTTTGGGGGGTCCTGTTTAATTCAATAAAACATAAACTATATCGTCATTATAAACGTTTGGTCTCCACATCTCAATCAAGGAACTTTCATGATTTGATCATTTCCATCCAGCTAAGAAAGAGTTACATGAGACTTCACCAATCCATCGTTGGGTATCTTGTGTGTGGAGAAAATTTCACTGTTACTCCCGTGAGAAGGGGTCGTCCCACAAAAATCATCCAAGAGCAAGGTGCATTGTCAGTGTCTGTGTTCATTGGTCCACCATCAGCCAAACACTGAGCAAGAGTAGTGTGCATGGGAGGATAGCAAGTCTCTGAGTAGTGTGCATGGGAGGATAGCAAGTCTCTGAGTAGTGTGCATGGGAGGATAGCAAGTCTCTGAGTAGTGTTCATGGGAGGATAGCAAGTCTCTGAGTAGTGTGCATGGGAGGATAGCAAGTCTCTGAGTAGTGTGCATTGGAGGATAGCAAGGCTCTGAGTAGTGTGCATAGGAGGACAGCAAGGCTCTGAATAGTGTGCATGGGAGGACAGCAAGGCTCTGAGTAGTGTGCATGGGAGGATAGCAAGGCTCTGAGTAGTGTTCATGGGAGGATAGCAAGGCTATGAGTAGTGTGCATGGGAGGATAGCAAGGCTCTGAGTAGTGTGCATTGGAGGATAGCAAGGCTCTGAGTAGTGTGCATAGGAGGACAGCAAGGCTCTGAATAGTGTGCATGGGAGGACAGCAAGGCTCTGAGTAGTGTGCATGGGAGGACAGCAAGGCTCTGAGTAGTGTGCATAGGAGGACAGCAAGGCTCTGAGTAGTGTGCATGGGAGGATAGCAAGGCTCTGAGTAGTGTGCATGGGAGGATAGCAAGGCTCTGAGTAGAGTGCATGGGAGGATAGCAAGTCTCTGAGTAGTGTGCATGGGAGGACAGCAAGGCTCTGAGTAGTGTGCATGGGAGGATAGCAAGGCTCTGAGTAGTGTGCATGGGAGGATAGCAAGTCTCTGCTCTCCAAGAGGAACATTGCTGTCCATTTAAAGTTTGCAACTGACTACCTGAATGAGCCACTGGAATTATATTCTTTGGACAGGTGAGTGGAAAATAGATTTGGCTTTTCATATATCATGGTTTGCGTCTGTTGGCATCATTGATGCAGCTATGAATTCCAGAATGTACCAGCAAATTCTACAGGAGAATGTCAGGGTATCCATCCATGCACTGGAGCAAGATAACAACCCTAAGCACACAAGTTAGTCTATCAAAGAATGGAGGAATTGGAATAGATTTGTAGTTTCGGAATCACCTAGTGACAGTCCAGATCTTAATCCAACTGAAATGTTCTGTAAGGAGAAACAAGCTTGGGGATCACAGTGTAGGATCAGCCAGCATGCAGCACCCCTGGAGTAACATGGGGGGGTTGGTGTTAAGGGCCTTGCTCAAAGGTCCAACTGTGGTATCAGTCTGACAGCCACAGGATCCAAACCAGCGAACGCGGAATCAGAGTGGAGTCCCGCGTAGCCGTGGGAAAGCCGGCAGTACACAAGCAGCAGGAACTGGAGCTTTCTTTGCAGTTCCTCCTTTTGGGGAGTGGATAGGCATAGGAGGGTAACGCCGCAACAAATAAACTTACGAAATTTCAGAAGTAAACTTTGCATTTTGGCATGGAAGGGGAAAGGAAGACTGAATGTGCAAGCGCTATCGCTATCTTTCAGACACAAGAGCATCCTGGGGTTACTGTCAAAAGAAAAGCAGAACAAATTATTATATTGGGGTATTTTGAATGAGGAACAAGTGGAATGACAGTATATTAATGGTCACCTCACTCACGCTCCCATGACAGACTGCTGCCTGAACCCGCCCCCTCACAACCGGCTCTTATGACAGACAAATGAAACTGAGAAGCAAACTAAACCAGTTTGACCAATGACAGCTGCATTTATTTTAATTCTTACAGTTTATTTTTGTTCCCAACACATGAATGCCAAAAACGTCACAGAGTGGAGGTAGCTGCTGTTAAACCCCAACACAAGGACTGACAATCCCAGTTTCGCAACAGATGCTGAGCACATAGATATTAGCGTAGCCTTTCATGTCTAGTACAGGATATGAGCCATGGACATAGAGTAGATGTTCAAGTATAAAGGAACTACACTTAAAATGTTGAGTTACAACCACATTTCAATACTGTATTTGTCACGTTAAAGGAAGCTGTAATTTTACTGGTCCTCCATCGATGCAGATTGGCAACCCTTCCATTCATTGGCTGCCCACATGGTCCATCCATAGGAAGGTGGGGGTGGGCCAGGCCACAGAGCGGACCCCCTGCGGGCTGACTGTGTCAGGGCACAGAGAGGGGGCCACGGGATGGGGCGACGACAGGGAGAGCCGGGCCGCCAGGAGCCCCATGCGCACACAGATGTCGGCGTCCTGCCCTTGGAGGATCCCTGCTATCAACCCAGCTGCCAGGCTGAGGAGGAGAAGATGGCAGCAAAGATTTAAGCACCTGCCGCTCTTATCCTCCAGTGGCAGCCTGACCAACCGTAGTGGTATAAAATATCATAAGATGCAGTGCAGTGCCAAAGCTAGCTGTCAGATAGCGAGCGTTTATATGAGTACAGTGGATAAGCAGGTAGCCCTACTGGCTGCCTGTGAGGAGTTTGCATGTCCTTCCCATGTTTGATGTATGTCCTCTCACGATGTAATGCCGTGCTGGTGTCTCTGCAGCCCACTGTGCCGCCCTGCATGCCGGGATTGGCCCTGGGAGGCTGGGTGGATGTGGTAACAGCACATTCTCATTTGCCTGGGTGGGAGACTTTGGTCGTGTGCTTTCTGGCCTCCATCCCCCAGTCTAACACTGTCACTGACTCATTTCTCACTTCAAAGCACGTAAATTAGTGCCGGCTAAGCCGTGGGAAGGAAGAATACAAATGAATGCTTTCTGACATTTTGTCAATTATCATTTTTTATGGAGTATTAACTACAGTTTTCTGTTGTCATGGCAGTTACTGAAAGGCTGATTATGATTTATCAGTTTTCCAGCATTTTTATTTAGAATTACGATATCATCAGGAGGCTAGAGTCATGCATATTAAAGCTCCTGGTGTTTCTGGTCGGAGAAAATGGTCTCTGTTAACGAACTTCCCTTAAATCTACCACCAATGTTCTTAACTCATACATACCACTGTCTGTCAGAATTATTCAACACTGGTGCAGGGCATATCTATGTCTGGGAAACAGGAAACATGCAAATGCTCTGGTTTTTGAATTATCCATATCCCAGATCCTGCTCCCTCTGTCTTGCCCAGTTAGCATCCTCATCCCCAGAGATAGACATAAACGTCAAGTCCAGTTATACAGCAGGGAATTTCTCTGGAAGCCATTAAGGTTATTGTCATCAATGACGGTACCAACAACAATGTGCACCAGCAGCCTTTTAGTAAAGAAATCCGGACACTGAAGCTACACTGACCAAAAGCCAAAAAACAGTGACGACAGTCGATGAAAGGTAGTGAAAAGTAGAATGTTGTACAGATCACGGTCCTCCAATCAGGAGGCCAGCAGAGCTGTGTGTGTGTGTGTGTGTGGGGGGGGGGGACGCATTAGATCACTAAGCCTTGGAGTTTTGTCCTGGGAAGCGCCTCAGAGAAGCCGGACGTCAGGAAGCGGCTTTGCTCAGTTGTGCTCGCAAAGTCACCAGCCCACAAATCAGCGTGGGGAAGCACATGGATACCCCTGACAGTCATGTTCCTCCCTTTTCTTGTGCATGTGATTAGTGTGAGAGCACAAAAATAAATAAATAATACAGCTCCAACTTGCAAGTTATGTTGTAGTTAAATCTCAGAGCCTGATCTTCCTGTTATAATAAAGTTGTTTTCATCGAGGCACTCAGGATGAGATCACCGGACTTGGCCCGCTGCAGTTTAGGGACATCTTGTGGGGACGCCATGTACGGCCGTGACCCCAGGTTACCGCAGAGGCTCTGTCACCTGTCACCAGCCCCGGAGACGTTCACGATGTCCTCAGGCGGGATGCTCACGGCAGGGTAGTGGACGGCACACAATCGGCCTTTCTGGAAGGGGAGACAGACAGCGTTGCAAACGAGCTAGGCGTTCCCATGTGACCCGATCCCTAACACGCTTTGTCACGAGTCAGTAATCTATTGGCATTGGGAGAACCTGGTAACAGTTGGTAAAGTCCCAAGTTAAATTAGAAGGATAACTTTAAATAGTGAATGCTGGTCGGGTTACAGTGCAAACAGGGGCATTACCCGCAGTGCAGAGCGAATCCCAGGCTGCACTCGTACACCTCCCTCCTCATGCTCCCCGCAAAGCAGCACTCCCAGCGAGCCCAGCGTCACCACCACGCATCTCAGGTGCTCCAGCAGGGGGCGAGAGAGGGACGCCGCGCAGTGCAGCACCTCATCCCGGGTCTTTGGGAGGACTATCGGGAAGAGGGCCGCATGAGCAATCTAACACTCCTTTGCTCTTTCTGTCATTCCCATTCATTCCTTCAATCCATCACTGACTATTTCGCCCATTTTGTTTCATTCGTGCTGTCACTCAGTCACCCCTTCAGGAAGTCTTTTCACACCATCACATCATTCATTGATCCTGCCTACATCTACATTACAGTCAAACTGATTTGGCGAGAATGACATGGCACAATGAAAAAACCACAGACTGGCACCTTAATATGTATTTAGGGAACTGCACTAGTTGCTCTCCAAAAGAAAGGGGTAGTTAGTAGCTGTTCTAACAAAAATGTTTTTCTGTCACAGCCTCTAAGACTGCTAATATCGCACCGTCTGGTGTAAGAAGACCCAGCGCCTGGTTCATGGCACACAGTTCCATCAGGTTAGGGGAGGTGTAGGTCAAGGCCTTCCAGCTCTCCGACAGGAACGGCTTGATGGCTTTGTCCACATCTGTTGGCTCGAACCACACTGCAAAAAAAAAAGGTGATAGTGCTGCTTGTGTCACTCCCAAAACACTGCGATCACAATGGTGACGGTGCTGATCATGTCACAGTCAAAACACTGCGATTACAAAGGCGACAATGCTAATCATGTCACAGTCAAAACACTGCGATTACAAAGGCGACAATGCTAATCATGTCACAGCCAAAACACTGTGAACCCAAAGGCAACAATGCTGATCATGTCACAGTCAAAACACTGCGATTACAAAGGCGACAATGCT